CGAAACTGTTTACTTCGTCGAGACTCCAGAAAATGCAAGAAACTCTTACACTCCATGGACCGGAACGTTCACTTCGACGTACTCAACTGATGTGAGCACGATTACTGGCTCTGATGGAAAGGTCACCACTGAAACGGTCTACTACGTTGAGACTCCAGAAGTTGTATCCACTTCTTTCACAGCGTGGACTGGTACCTTCACTTCGACCTACTCTACTGGTGTTAACACCATTACTGGCTCGGATGGTAAGGTGACCATTGTAACAGTGTACTATGTCGAAACCCCTAGATCGGGATACTATATGAACACAACCACTCAGAGAAGCCAGTCAAGAACTGAACTACCAACCAGTCGTGGATCAGCAACACAAGATACATCATACACTGGTACCAGCTCGGTTACCCCCAAGTCGTCAAGCTCCGTAGTTTCACAAGAAGCTCAACAATCCAGCTTAACCTCCACGGAACCAGAAAGCACGATCTCGCCCTCCAAAACGAATAATCCACAACAAGAGACGACAGGGACCGTGACCTCGATAAACCCCTTTACTGCCACTACAGTTGTCACACTTAAGAGCAGTGGTTCTCAACCTCAGAGTGAAGCTCAAGCCACAGCTACCGGTGGTAACGGTTCCCCAGTGAGCGAACCTTCTGCTTATACCCGATCAAGTAGTCCTGCCTCTGCTGCCCAAGGACAAGCCACAAACACTGAGGGTCAAGCTACAAGCGGTCAAGGCCCAGCTTCAAGCGGTCAAAGCCCAGCTACTAGTGTTCAAGGCCCAGCTCCAAGCGGTCAGAGCCCAGCTCCAAGCGGTCAAAGCCCAGCTCCAAGCGGTCAAAGCCCAGCTCCAAGCGGTCAAAGCCCAGCTACCTATACCCAGGGCCAAACGCAACCTACAGATACCTCGCAGCCTGGAAATTCTGCTGCTGGTTCTCCTGATGGAAAGCCTAAGTCTGATACTGATCAGGCCACCAGAATCCCAACCAAAACTACATTATCTGCTGGCAGTTCAGAGCGCTCTGGTACCAATACAGCTCCAGCAGCTTCCGTGACCGATTCCAAGGCACCTACCTCTGCTATGGCATCGGGCTCTGCAAGAGCATCCGGTACCCAGGTATCGGTTTCCACTTACGAAGGTTCTGCGACCAAGCTGCGGTTCGGATTGATGTTCCTCCTGCCCTTGGCCCTCATTTGAGAATAGCCACTCGACGTGAACCCAAATGCGGGAAAACCGCGCAGTGATTCGAAGATGAAGCAACAATACCGAAGAGGTTGTAATACTGAAATAAATGTAACTTAAAGAGAAACCTCAATATTTCGATACTTATGGATGAGAGATCATCTTCCTGCTGTTCTATCTAGGGACAATGGGATAGTATATACGTCATTCATGCATGAGAAGACCCTCGAGCGATCTTGGGAAGCATAATGTACGGGATAATATGTTCTAATAGAGTTTCGATCTGTCTGTATTTACGTAAAAGTATGGATTAGCAGTTCGAGAATGGACCTCAAGTAAAATGGAAACTAGTGAGATAATAGTTGTTTTTCCATATTTGAGGAAATTTGCCAAATGTTGTTTTTGAGAGTGCAAGCGTCTGATCCACTCCAAAATATTCGCAGTCACGTGACTATATGAATAGAAAACTCTCCCACCGGGACTTCACCACCTATTCCAGTAGCACCGACCTACGAGAAATGGTCTGATCAATAGTTGCAGCATTCGGGTCCAAGAGAAAACAATTTACTTTCATTTGATGTGGACTGTTTTCTAGAACCCTGCAATCAATCTGACGCTATATACGTAATATGAAGTTCTGAAAGTATCGTCGGGCTAACTTTAGCCAAGCTACTTGACCAACTCTTGTACATTTGATAAGTACGGAGGCTTGTACCACAAGGGATAATTTCACCAATGGTATGGGATGCTTGTCGTGTAACGACATTCTGGAATCAAAGTCTTAGCACGAGTATAAATACCATGACATAGATATCTTGACTAACTATGTATTTGCAGCTGGTGCCTAGGCTCCCATGACGTTGTGCGCTTGAGAGGTATCTTCAGTTTATGAAGGTAACATTAGAATAATGGAACCTCAGTTCGACGAAGGGAGTGACGTCAGATGAAAGTCGCAATTGAGGAGACGAAAAAGGTTTCGAACTATAAGAGCATCTTTAATCATTGAATGTATGTGTTGTACATTCACGTCTAAACTGTTACTGTCGTCGTTCAAACTATGGATTTGTGGCCGAATGAAAGTCGGATATGCCGTCCTTGTACCCTGTCCTGCGTGCAGCAGTCTTCTGTGAAAATACTTTATGATCGAATCGGACCGTCTGAGTTTGGGGGAACTGTAGCTGTTCCAATCATCCAATTCATTGGGTTGAGACTTCTGTCTTAAACCGACCAACACAAATAAATCTACAATTTCGTTGCAAGAAAAACAGTAAGATGTCCAAGTCTCACTTCATTCCTGGTGGAAACGGGTACTAGATTGGCTATTGTCAGGATATCCAATTTTCACTAGTTGAACACAGTAAGTGCCGGTGTCCATAGCGTGGGAGGCGCTACTGATTGGAAAGAAGTGGGTAGAGGTGTATACGTGCATAAAACCGTGTCGTTGGACGCTTCTAACGTTGAAAGCAATGACAAGGCTGCTAAAGAAGCAGCGGTTTTTAGCAAAATGTTGCTGGCGTGCTTTCGCCAATGCTGGTGTCCAAAATGCGGTTCGAAGTATTTTGGAGAGTACCGACAATGTGGGCCCAATCAGATTTAACTTCGCGCTTGAGACAAGCTCTTTTACCGAAAGCTGTCCTTGGGTTCACGATTATCAATCTTAATCGAGATTTTGGTTGAGAGGGCTGGCTAAAGTGTCATGGCGTTGCATTTTGGTTTGATCAGCTCCAGTTCAGCTAAAGATGCTTCAAAAAACGGAAGGGTGAAAAGTGTTCTTGATGGACTGCAGAAGCAATCCACAAGAACGTTCTGAAACGATGACCCGAGCTTGCAAGCAAATTTATTGCCCACGACTGATTCGAGGTTTTAAGGTAATTGAATTAAAACCCTTGAATGTCGTTTGACTTATGCAGAAATTACATCATACTTCTGGAACACAACACACATTTTTGCCCACTAGGCGCGATTCCTTAGATGCGCTCCCCAGCAGCCTCAAAGTGGTGTCCCCTAAGGCCTCTAGTTCCAATGTCTCGAAGACCTTCTATGCCTCGAGGCATGTTCCATGCATATAAATTAATGTGTGTGTGCTTGAACGAAAAGTGCCTCGAAGCTGAATATAAACTAATGTTTCTAGCATCCGTCTCGTGAACGGCGGCAAGGCTTCTAGATGAGCACGATTTGCACTCAACCAGGCTAGGTCTTAATCACCGGTAAGATGTGCCTATTAAGTTCGACTAAGTTCAGTAGATGCTAAATGTAACCATTGAACGTCTCTGTTTGTCACTCACACATCCTCAAGGGGAAGGCCAAAGCTCGGAAGAGCAGCCCAAACCTTCTGAACAAAATCTTAGAGCTAACAATTTCGACCCGCGTCTTTTGCGTAGCCAATGGATGCAGTTATGGTTTCGCAATGATTCGACCCAAAAGGTTTTGTTCGCGATTATGAATGAGCCGCATTTGTCATCTGAGGCGCTGCTGCATGTGTGGTTTCTGGACGGTTTCTGTCGCAGCTTAGCAACTTACATGAGATGGCATGATTGCTGAATAATTCATCTGGGATCAATGTCAAACTTGTTCTCAACATAAATATTCGCATCTACCGATGTTGTTCAAGATGTAATCCTAAGTACAGATTTGTCCACCACAACATAGCATACTCAAACAAGCCACGTACTAGCACAACCACCCATCATGTCGTCTTCGCGTCTCTTCGAGCCTCTCAAGATAGGCAACATTACCGTGAACCATCGCATTGGCATGGCTCCCCTCACTCGCATGCGCGCCACCGACGAGCGCATTCCCACGCCCCTCATGAAAGAATACTACAGCCAACGCGCCGCCGTCCCGGGCACTTTAATCCTTACAGAGGGCACATTCATCTCACCCAATTGTGGCGGGTTCCCCAACGCACCAGGTATATGGAGTGATGAGCAGGTGGAAGCGTGGAAGCCCATTACGGAAGAGGTGCATCGCAAGGGATGCTTCATCTTCTGCCAGATTTTTGCGATGGGAAGAGCGGCACAGAAGGAAGTCGCGGAGAAGGAAGGGGTTCCGATCATTGCACCCTCAGCGATTCCTATTGATGCTGATTCTGCTGTGCCGAGGGAGATGACGATGGACGAGGTGAAGCAGGTTGTTCTCGACCACGTCAAAGCAGCAGAGAACGCTATCAAGGCTGGCTTTGACGGTGTCGAGGTCCACGGTGCCAACGGATACATGCTGGACCAATTCCTCCAAGATACCGCCAACCACCGCACCGACGCCTACGGCGGCAGCATCGAGAACCGCACCCGCCTCCTCCACGAAACCATCCAAGCCGTCGCCGAAGCCATCACCCCGGAGCGGGTCGGCCTCCGCCTGAGCCCCTTCAGCACTTTCCAAAGCATGCGCATGGCCGACCCCATCCCCCAGTTCACGGACGTCATCACCAAAGCCAAAGCTACCAATTTGGCCTACATCCACCTCGTCGAGTCACGCATTTCCGGAGCCAGCGACGCAGCCGCCCTCGATAGTCTCGATTTCGCTTACGAGCTCTGGGGCAATGACAGACCGTTGCTCGTGGCAGGTGGGTTCACTCCGCTGGAGGCGCAGCAGCTCGTGGAGGAGCGGTATCCGGAGAAGAAGATTGTTGTGATTTTTGGGAGGCATTTTTTGGCGAATCCGGACTTGGTCTATAGGATGAGGCGAGGTTTGGAGTTGAATGCGTACAATCGGGAGACTTTCTACTTACAGCAGAGCCCGGTGGGCTATGTGGATTACAAGTTCAGCGATGCTTACTTGGCCGAACATGGGGTAGTATCTGGCTACAAATAACGGTTCGTAGATGATTCTCTAGTTTTCTTGGTTTATTCTTATGATGCTATGGACGTGAAAGACCTGGATGGTAGACATGGAATCGCTTGAATAGACAGGCTATCTTCTCTGTGCATCTAGGGCACCTTTTGAGTATCCCATAGATCCAGGTATATTAGCCACAAAGTAGTCTGTACAGGCCCGATCAACCAATCGGGCTCCCATAGGTGCCCAGAGGAGATACTGACAATATCATGTCATCTGAGTCATGTTTCGTTGTCTCATTGTATGCTTCTCTATCAAAGCTTTCGAAAAATCTAGCCTAGCTACCAGATACCAAGTGACATGAGTCTATGCACATGGGACCACTCAACGCTACGGCATTGTCCCCACGATCACTGCAACGCAACCGCCTACGCGCGAATCGTGATTCTCGGTCCCTGCCGCTGCCAGCCGCTGACCATCTGAATGTCACGATTCAAACAACTACGTCAAATCCCCGGGTCGCGAGAAATCAGACTTTTCATACCGTCCAGAGCTGTACCTACAGACACCATGGCCCGCCGAAGACGTTTCTCGCAAATTCACTTGATGTAAGTCGAGACTGGATAACGAAAATTGCGGCACATGAGCGCCTTGAAAACCTCCATGGGGGCTGTCGTTCTCCGCTGTGCCCACTGCATTCAAAGAAATCAGCTGGACGAGGTGACCTTTGAGCGCGACAAGTTGCTGTTCGATTTGGAGCAGTGGAAACAGGTTGTTCTTGAGCAGCTGCAGTTGATCAAGGAGCGGGACCGCTCCATTGAAGTTCAAAACCTCTGTTCACATTTACTTGAGTCGAGGCTGATCAGTGGGAGCGCGCTCCAAGTGCCGCGGCAGACCTGCCGTCAGCAAAGAAGCTCAAGGTGTCGTCGTACATAGCTCGACGGGGCTCAGTCCTCGACTTGAAAATGCATGGCAAGTTCATGGTAGATGATAGATCGCCTTCAAGAGCGATGTGTATGAGATCATCGTGGCTGCTACTGTAAAGTATTGGTGGCTTATTCTGATCAAGGGAAACTTAAACATGCGCGATCATTAGAATTGAGCAGGAACCTGAAAGTACCCGAGTGCGGAACTTTCGACAGTATTTAAGCAATAGAGACGCAAGTGAGAATTGGTATGCATGCGACTAACTTTACTGAGCTTGCTTTAAACTGAACCATATCAGCGGTTATGAGACACATGTAAGACTGACCAAATTACTGGTTTAGAAGAGCACTCAATAATGGCTCCAGTTACATGGAAGTAATGAGAAATGAGTTGCACATTTACTTCCAGGAATGAGGCTCAAATAGCGATCTACAGTGTCCTTATCTCGGACATTTCACTATATATGTGATAGCTTCAATGCTGTTACGCGTCCGCGGTCATCGCTGGAACCAGAGTGTATCACAAAAGAATCACTTGCTTCATTACGGAATAAACCCAGTACGAAATACCGATCTCGGGATCTCGAATTGCGTTGTCAAACTGACCTTCAGTTTTTTGAGTGGGTCTGCGAGTACACTTCACAGCCGGGTCGTGCTAAGAGTACGGTTTGAGAAGTATATGAGTGGTGCGGCGGATATGGGGAAGTTGTTGGCCTTCTTATTATAACTTTCGGATTTCTTGGACGACTGCACTGATATGTTGTTAGTGAAATTGTCGAAAGTCATGGAGCTAATCTTTTCTATGCCTTATTTCCTCAATACAACACCGCATTGAAATGCACAGTAGATTAAGGTTATTATCAAGGATTTATTCGGTTCTCATTATATGCTGTTTAGATCTGCTGGCATTATGAGACCGGGACTTAGCAGGGTGAAAGCTCTCAACGTTTTTCTTGAAAGACCTCTTCATCCAATATCTCTGAGATTGAGAGACCTGGATGGCTAACTCCGTTGATTTCTGCACTAGCAACTGCTGTGTTGACATACCCGCGTCGAGTAAGAGCCGTAATCAGAAAGTGAAGGTGACTTTTACTGGTGTACAAATCTTGTTGTAGAGTTTAGTGCATGGAAATTAGTACTCTACTGGTATCCGAATTGGTGGCAAAACGGTTCACAAATTGGTTTCCTCCACAACGGTCATTAACCATCCCAGCGTTCAATCATCCTCGTAGCTGTACATTATTCACAATGATCGCTGACGCTCTCATTGTTCAAGTTTGCTTAGGCCTTCTCCGGTGAACAGAAACCCACAGAAGTTGCCGAAATAAAGCATAGAGAATGCGAAAGACGGGCAAGAAATCGTCAAAACTCTGCTACACACCGTCCATCTATGAAATACCGATACCCAACTGCTGAGGCCTGAATACGATTAGGTTCGTCACAGTCATTGTCGTTCGCGACTGATCACTTTATACTGATCTGTCACTGAAAGTGTGAATCCCATTCAGAAAGGCAATGCGACAATTTTGCTCGAGCGTTATGATCCAAAGTCAAATTTAGGGTATGATAGGTGGTAGTCACACTGTTAAAATCGTCCATTTGTAAGAGAAGGCACTAACTATGGTCTCGCTACCCACACCGTTGATGTCACACTGCTAGAAAGTGATATGGGTGTTTTTTCCCAGCTAGGTGGAAGCGTCGTTTCTCAAGGCAAGATAAAGATATGCAAATACTACACTATACAGCCGTGATCAAAACCACTTCTCCGTCATTTTATCACCCCTCAATTTCGCGCCAAAAAAAGTCCAACAGTCCAGCCAAGTCCTGACTACATGATTTCAGATATTCCTGCTCCCACAAGTGACATTCAGAAAATCCTAGCTGTCACTCAACTCACCTCGCCATTTCAAATACTATTCCTCTTTCCTTGCTCTTATCCAAAGACGACGTTATTTCTCGACGGTGTGTATCCATTGTCGTTTTTTAGTTCGTTTAAAACAACAGACGTCGATATTTTTTTCATGCGCGTAAACGACACTCAAATTGATATATAAAGGAAAAACCAGTCGAATTCGAGAATCTTGACTCAACTCATTTTATCCCAACTGAGCCGTTCAACATATTTCCAAGCACAATTGACATCAACTGTCAAGTCTTGCCAATTGCCCACACTCGCTTTTTGGCTTTCATCAACTTTTGAATCTGAAAACGACACATTGATTGTCGAAAAATTCGCTATAATAACAGTTACCTTGAAGTAACCTTTTTCCCATAAAAATACACATTTCAGTTGCAATGTCCGAGGAATCAGCCCAGGAATTGAGAAACAGACAGGCCAAGTTCACATCTGAACTGCACGGTGAAGAAATCGGTTCGAAATCCGGTCTAAAAGCGCTGCTTTCCAAAAACAAGGCTGCTCAGCAACAAGCTGTGGCCAAGTATTTGCGCCATTGGGACGGCAAAACGGACGAAGAGGCCGAACAGCGTCGTCTGGAAGACTACAACGAAGCTACGCATTCGTACTACAACGTGGTGACCGACTTTTACGAGTACGGTTGGGGCTCGTCTTTCCATTTCAGCAGATTCTATGCGGGCGAGAGTTTCACGGCCAGTGTGGCACGTCACGAGCATTTCTTGGCCTACAAAGCTGGGATCAAGGCTGGAGACCTGGTTTTAGACGTCGGTTGCGGTGTTGGTGGACCTGCACGCGAAATTGCGCGTTTCACTGGGGCTAACGTCATCGGACTCAACAACAACGATTACCAGATCGCAAAGGCCAAATACTACGCTAAAAAGGCTAACCTTGCCGGACAGCTGGATTTTGTCAAGGGTGACTTCATGAACATCAACTTCGAGCCCGCCACATTCGACAAGGTGTATGCCATCGAGGCCACATGCCATGCTCCCAAATTGGAAGGTGTCTATGGCGAAATCTACAAGGTTTTGAAACCGGGTGGTGTTTTCGCCGTTTACGAATGGGTTATGACCGACAAATACGACGAAAACAACCCAGAGCATCGCAAGATCGCTTACGAGATCGAACTTGGTGATGGTATTCCTAAGATGTTTCCTGCCGAGGTTGCCCGTAAGGCTCTCAAAACAGTTGGGTTTGAGATCCTGCACGACGAGGATTTGGCCGATAACGATGACCCTGTTCCATGGTACTACCCATTGACCGGTGAATGGAAATACGTTCAAACAGTATCGGATCTAGCCACGTTTTTCAGAACCTCTTATCTTGGTCGGATGTTCACCACCACGATGGTGACGGTCATGGAAAAGGTTGGAATTGCGCCCAAGGGTTCCAGGGACGTGACTTTGGCGCTGGAAGAGGCCGCTGTGGGTTTAGTTGCGGGCGGAAGAAGTAAATTGTTTACGCCTATGATGCTGTTCGTTGCTAAGAAGCCCGAAAATTGATGTGTGAGACGCACTGAAACTGTATATATGATATATTCTTTGAAGTACGAAGAGCACACAACCATGCGACGATTGCTGACCGGGTGGGCTGATGTTCAGGAGCGAGGTGGTTGTGGGAACATGGTAAATGTGATTAAAATATCCACGAGGACATTGGGCTGAATGTGCATGGATAAGAATGAAACTTGAAAGTTGCAGTGAAAGCATGAGAGTATCTGATAGGATTTAACTCAGTACTTCGATAAGTCTGGTTCCAGGGCTCCAAAATGGGGACCTAGTAAACGCATTCATCGGTTCTTTGACCATTACCGGTGACACTGACACTGACACTGTAAAGTAATAATATCCGATCACGTGACAATCTTACATTTCACTAAGATCATACAAATTTTGGATATAACTGATTGCAAACCAAAAGCATATCAAGAACCCTCAAAACCGGTGAGATAATCCTAATCCAACATTCGCTATAACCCTTCTCATCCTACCCAATTTCCTAAATCCGTCTTTCTCTTCCCCTTAGCATTCTCGACGGTCCAATATATTCCAGTCCTTCGAACGGCCTTTATGATTACGTCAGCAAAAGGCTCGAGGAATTCTTAATTTCTTCCCACATGTGAAAATTGATTAGATTATTAACATGGTGCTCGGAGACCAGAAGTGTCATATATAAAGAGACGTCAAGAACAGAAGATGCCAAGACCAAGGCCGTGCGATGAGGCCTCGAGGAATTAGCCGCTTTAACGGAGTAGAAGTCAAAATTGTTCGAAACCGCTTCTAAACATTGCATTCACATCGCCGCCAATTATTTCGTCGACTTTTTATTTTAACTAAAGAAGCGTCGCTAGAATTTTGTCAAGACCTCGAGGAAAGAATTCGGAGCTCCAAAAATTTTTGCGGAAAATGGCTTCTCACAGACATCTGAAGCATCCCGCTATTAGAGATCTTCCTTTTTCAGTACAGGAAGTGGCATCAAACTGTGTGAACAGAGCTAAAAAAGAGATTACCTGGGGCCGTAATCAAACGGTCTCAGACGACACGAGTGGGTCCTTCAACGGTCACGACGAGTTCCAGGAAGCAGCATCCGGTAGCGAAAACGTGGGAGACGGCCAAGATTCGTTGGCCCGCAAACATAAATACCAGAAAGATGAAAACCGCAACAACTACTGGGCCATCGTCACAACGGGTGCCGGTCTGTTTTCGGACGGTTACATCAACAACTCAATCAGTACCGTCAATGCTTGTTTGTCGTTGATCTACGGGAAACAATACTCGGACTCCAACGCGCTGCAAAACGTGTCATCGATCGCTTTCGTAGGCACGGTCGTGGGTCAGCTGAGTTTTGGGTACATTTCCGACTTCCACTCGCGTAAAGTGGCCATGTTGGTTGGCACAGGAATCCTGATTCTGTTCTCTATCTTGGCAGCTGGTGCCTGGGGTGTGGGGACCACTGGAACTCACGCAGGTGGTCTTTTCGCCGCATTGACCGCATATCGATTTTTCTTAGGCATCGGTATCGGTTCGGAGTATCCTGCGGGTTCCACAGCCGCTGCAGAAGCCTCCAACTCTTTGCCAGCGGGAAAACGGAACAGATGGTTCTGTTGGTTCACCAATCTCATGATCGATGCAGGTTTCGTGGTCAGTTCCGTGGTACCCTTGATTCTGCTGAAAATTTGTGGCGAAAAGCACTTGACACCGGTTTGGAGAATCACTTTGGGACTTGGTGCCATTCCGCCATTGTCGCTTTTCATACTTCGTTTCAAATACAAAGAAGGTAAGCAGTATGAAAACACAAAATTCCAAAGAACCATGCCTTATTGGAAAGTCTTCAAGTTTTACTGGTTTAGACTTGCTATCGTCAGCATTATCTGGTTCCAATACGATTTCATCAGTTATTCCTTTTCCAGTTTGTCCAGTTTGATCTTAGACGGTGTTCTTGGAGAGAGCGCTACTTTGACCAAGACTTTTGGCTGGAATATCGTTTTCAACTTATTCTACATTCCTGGCGCTTTCTTGGGTGCGATTTTCGCCGATTACTGGGGTCCACGTTTTACATTGGTCAGTGGTGTACTCGTTCAGGCCGCTCTCGCATTCATCATCGCTGGCTGTTTCGATCACTTGAAAAAACACATTGCTGCTTTCACTGTTGTTTTTGGTATTTTCAGTACCATGGGGGAGTTCAGTGTTGGTGATAACATTGGTTGTCTAGCTTCCAAAACCAGTGCAACTCCAATAAGAGGTCAGTACTACGGAATAGCTGCCGCTGTGGGCAAAATCGGGGCTTTCGCTGGTTCCTATGCTTTCCCAGCCATCATCAAGAAGTATGGTGGCTATGATCACTTGCAGGTGCCCTTCTGGATCTCTGGTGCCATCTGCTGCAACAGTGCCTTCTTGGCTTTGTTTTTCTTGCCCGATGTGGACCAAGAAGCCAACCTTCTCGAAGATGAGATGTTCGTTGAATATCTGGAAAGCACGGGTTACAATGTGGCACGTATGGGTACACACTTTGATGACAGCGAATTTGAGAAAGTTTCGGTGACCGAGCTTCCAAAGGATGCTTGAGCATTGTTGAAGCTATCGTGAACTGAAACTACATCAGGACGCTGCAATGCAAACTTTAATAGAATTTTAATATACCTTTTTTCATTGATTTTACCTCACTCCATGGGACGAGTAGACAAAGCCGCTTCTTCTCGATTCCCATCGATTACAATCCAAGTTTAGGATAACAAGAACCTTTCCCCCAGTTGCTTACCACTTCGTACCGTCAATGCCGGGCTATGAACGCGCACGTGACCAACTACTTCCTAATTTACATTACCGTCTGTATTTATACATCAAACTTATTAGACGCTGAGATTCACTACAGCTCCAATTCTCCCTGGAAGCAAGACGTTTACCATCAAGTCATATCTTAAATGTCCGACAGCATCAAGGTGGCCGTGAGATTGAGGAAACCTTCAAATCTAGAGTCAGATAGCTTTCTTGTAGCGCATGTACAATCAGATACTTCTATAGATATCCAATCCAACAAAAAAGACGAACATAAAAGATTCGTCTTCGATCATTGCGCAACATATTCAGATGATGTCGAGACAGACCAGGAACAGTTTTATAGCCTATTAGCCAGAGAATATTTACTACATGCGTTGGATGGCTACAACACCTGCATATTTGCGTATGGCCAAACAGGTTCAGGGAAGTCTCATACAATGTCAGGGACGACACTGAATCCGGGAATAGTGCCCAGAATGTGCCAGGAGCTGTTTGAGGTTAGAAACCTTTATGAGTTGTCCGATGACCAAGTACATCCCCAATTTAGCATCAAATGCTCTTACTTCGAGATTTACAACGAAAGTGTGCGCGACCTTCTCGGAGGATGCAGATGTAAGGTACGAGAGCGGGCAGATAAGACCACCTTCGTAGAGGGTCTGAAAGAATTTGACGTGTTTGAGGTTGATCAGATACTCGCGTATCTCAATCAGGGAAATAGTAGAAGGGTAGTGGGGGCGACACATGTGAACGAACAGTCCAGTCGAAGCCATGCAATCTTCACAATTCAAATCGAGCAGCGAGAAACTACACCGCTAGGTCACATTTTAGAGCGGAAATCAAGCATTAAACTAATTGATCTGGCGGGCAGTGAGCGAGCAAATGCGTCGAAGACCACTGGCGAGCACCTAAAAGAGGGATCTAACATCAATAGGTCTCTGAGTACCCTTGGAAGAGTGATATCAATGCTGGCAAAGTCCAAAAGACCTATTCTAATCCCCTACAGAGACGCAGCTCTTACTTGGGTGTTGAAAGAGAGTTTGGGTGGAAACAGTAAGACCTGCATGATTGCATGCGTCTCGCCCTGTGACTATGAGGAGACCATGTCAACAATCAGATATGCAACCCTTGCACGTAGTGTAAGGACTTCTGCAAGATTGAACTCTCACGAATTGTCCGACGGAAGGGAGCAGGTTCAGGTGTTGCGCTCACAGCTCGAAGAGTTACAAAAAGCTCTGTCACAGGTAGAAAACCATCGCGCTATAGGTGATAAAATGGAGAAGATCAACTTGACCAATCAGTTTCTCGAGTTGCGCATTGAGCGCGAACAGAGCTTAGCAGCAAAATACTACGACCAATGGATCGAAGCTGCTGATTCCCGAGATAAACTAATGCAATTAATGGGAGGCATAGTCACAAGCGTGCAGGGCGCGCAAGTAGCTGGTACACGGGAGAAAATGCAGCTGCTTAAGGGCAGGTTTATCGAATTTGGCTCTAAGATAGAAGCCAATTGTAGCGACATACAATCTACGGTGAAAGTCCTAAATTCTAATCAGAGTGCTTTGCTACCGAAAGCGACTGACGAGAGTCACTGAAAGACTGCCGTTCGACTGGAGGCGCGTGTTTAAAATGTTCGAATTAGATTCATTTTGTTGCTATTTGCTGCACATATGTTTATTTGGTGGGTGCTAAGCGGTCTTGAAGACCAAGAAAGCGAGGGGTCCGATATAAAAGTAGACGAAGTGTCCTTTTTCATGAGTCACGTAGCTTCCGAAGCTTTTTCCCACTATGACGTGCCAAGTGTTACCGTGTTTTAGGTCCAGTTCCTTCTTTACCACGCCAGCAATTTCTCTTTCTAAACTGAACTCCCGAACAGCTTTCGCACTGATTTCAAAAACCGCATTTTTAAGCTCCGGAGACTAAAGAAGATGTTGCGCAAGTTAGAAAGTCATTCACATGACGGTATGCTTTAGTTGTTGAATGGTATACTTACGATATCTGAGGCTTTCAAAATCGCTGCGAACTCAGTTGTTAGTCACCAAGAACACCTTAAGAGGAAAATTAACTTGAGTGCACTTTCGAAAAGTGCTCAGTACACAACATACGTTCAGAGGACATCGTAAAAGGCGTTGAATTTTCCTTTGTTCGTCAACTCCTCTTCACAACCTTTGAATAATTTTGAAGACAATATTTGCATTTAAATGATCATCTCAACATTCGTTCGCAGCGAAACAAACAATTTGGCATCAAGAGAGGCAGAGTAAGCCATGAATAGCTACAATGGTAGCGATGAGGAGGATAACAATCCATTCTCAGGCACCAATCATTTGTATGCATCGGGAATTGCTGCTGTTCCAGAGGGACAAGATGATTTTGTTCCCCCTAACATCCTTACAGACATACAGGAGAAAGAGGAAACAGGGGATGAATTGATGCACCAGCTTTTTGGAAGCGATATAGACACGAGCAAGGCTTTGCGCTCAGAAAGCTCTGAAACTGGTATGGCTACGTGGGGTGCAGAACCTGCAGAGGCTAAGCTATCAGAACCAGAGCCTCCAGTGATGAAAAAAACGCTTTCTTCAGAAGGGAGCAGGATCCCATTTACTCTTCCAGTTGAGGACCGAGTGGTCAAAATAGTAGATGCAGGTCATTTCAGAGATGCTGGTGGGAAATATGCTATTGGCTACACCATCGAGTTTCAAGGGAAGCAGGTTGTAAGACGATACTCGGAGTTTGATAGTCTCAGACATGCATTATATCGACTGTTGCCAACAATTGTTGTGCCTCCGATTCCATCGAAGCATCCGCTCATCAGATATTTTTTGAATCCGCTCAGCGCAGAGAAAGATATCAGAATCATCGATCGCAGAAAACGTTTACTCTCGTTGTTCCTCAACAATTGTTATGCCGTCCCCGAAGTACGCGCACACATTGTCTACAAAAAGTTTTTAGACCCCGAGCAAGTATGGAGACATGTTTTAAACTCTCCTCCGATATCGATTCTGCCTGCAAACAACCTTTTGGCACCTCCCCTCCAGCAAACCAAACCCAGTCCATTGCATCTCTTGCTTCCCAGTGCGTCTACATCTGCAACTATTACCGAACCGATAGACAAGGAGAACATTATATGGAGTCAAGAGGAAACTTTCAAGCAGTATGAGTTGAATCTCAAGAAGTTCGAGAAAACCCTTCACCCGTTGGAAAAACAGTCTAAGCAAAATAGACTCCACTTTCAGGCGTTGTCTTCTTCGCTGGCCGAACTAGGTGCTTATTACAATGCGTTCAGCCTGGAAGGAAATATTTTAGCACTCCAAGAAAACCTGCGACAAATCAATGAGCTATCCAAGGGAATTGAAAAAGTGGGGCAAGCCATCGATGTAAACTACGTCAATTCTGAGATTGTCTCGGAGCAGATTACTATACTATTTGAAGAACCTATGGCCGAGATGGTGCAGACAATTGCTGAGGCCAGGCAAGTGCTGCATTTCAGAGAGCAGAAAATGGGACAATACAGAATAGTAGAAGCCACTATAAAGCGTCGTGAAGCGCGGATAAAAAGTCTAGAAGATGCACGACAACAAATGCTAAGGCTCGAAGAGGCTTTGCGGAAAAACGCAGAGCAATCCCCGACCGTTGCGCAGGCTGTTAAAAATATGGATAACCGGAGTCGAAATGCAGGCGAAGCGGTTGTAGCTGAGGCACAGCCTCACGAGAATGAGATTGTGAGCAAGCGTTCTCACGCTGGAAATACAAGATGGACAGAGCTTTTCAAGCCGAGAAGATCGACAGCTGTTGGGTCTCACAGGTCGCGATCATCCTCTGATACTCGCGAACTAGAACCTCATCTTCTTAGCGACGAGCAACGAGTGGAAGAGGTTTCGAAAATAACCCAGGAACTGCAGAAATTGAACGAGTGCTTCAAGCTTATTACAAAAGACGTGAAGCAGGTCAACGCGTCTGTTGATGGGAGCTTGCTACGCCTGCTGAGCTACATTAAGGAAAGATGCTCCATAATTCTCAAAGCTTTTTCCAGAGTACTTCTTGTATGGCTCAAAGATTCGTTGGTTGCTTGGCAGAATGCCAGGCTTGTGATCGGAGATATCAACGTGCGCACTCTTGAACTGTCTTGATCTCCCTTTTAGCGGGCAAAGTCGAGCATCCTGAATTCAACATAACCTGTCCAAAAATAAGCGAATAGGAGATGCGCACAGAAACTGTCAAAATGGAGTACAGGTAATGTGCACAAAATGTTACTTAAAAATCCTGCGATTCTTTCGAACATGGATACCAGCGCAGAACTGTCGAAACCTGGATCATCACAGAGATTCTGTCGTTCGCGTCAGATCACTTCTTACTAAGGATACACCTACCAAGAGCCCAATCAGTCCTCCAACACTAATTTCGACCCCAAACCAATGCACAAACTCACCTAGAACAACCAATACTGAATGACCGCCCCTCCGCTATGCTCCACTATGTTCTTTATGGTTTCCAAACTCAAATTTTCAAATTTTGGCTGAGAAAAAACGCTCAGACAGAACAGAATTCTAAAGTACAAAACACCTATGATCCACAAACAACTGGCACAACCTTCTCAACCAAATCTCCCGCATTGTCGTTGTCACTGCTACTAGCTACTCGCATTCGCTACTTCCCTATTGATGGGTTCATAGCATTTCATTATATAGCCACCTCGTACAAAACGCTATTTCTTCAAGTTCGAGATTCCTATGTATTCGCCACCATCTTTAGCCGAAAGGGTTCACACCTTTGACTTCACTAAACCATCTAATCCCAAGCCTTATAAACCGTCACACAGTGTATCATATGTTTGCTGATATCTCCACTATTCTGAGTACTTTGAAACAGGAAGTAGACCCACAACTTTCGTACCTTTTTGACGAATTTGAGAGTTTATACGATTCAAAACTATGGCATCAGCTTACAGAGAAGCTTGAGCTATTCTTCCAGGATGAAAGAACCGGACCACTGAGACTAAGAGTATACGATGCGTTTGTTTTGAAATTCCAAGACAAGATCAGTCAATTGAGTGTTGTGAGTTTTCTACTGAGCTCTCTCAAGGCTGAGAACGATCCAGAAGCTGCCCTGGGATATCTAGAAGATTTGCGCAAAAGCTTCAAGGAAATTGACGCGAAGAAACAGAGAAATGATGGGCTAAAATCACATTTCGATGGTGTTCTGCTGATAGACATCGAAATTGCAAGATTCCATCTCACTAAAGGAGATTTGGTGAAGTCCAGGGACTCATTGGACGCAATTGAAGCGACCATTGAGCTGCAAGACGTGATGCCATTAGAAGTCACCAGTGCATTCTACTCTGCAAGCTCGGAATATTATCAGGCCAAAAGGGATTTCAATTCATTCTACTACACAAGTCTGCTGTACTTATCAACTGCTGAAGCGTCTCGTTCTGTTCCAGAATTCTCTTTTTTGAGACGCCAACAACTTGCGTATGATCTTTCCATTGCAGCGTTACTAGGTGACAAAATTTACAATTTCGGAGAACTACTGCATCATCCTATAATGGAAAGCATCTCATCTGATCCACAATACGAGTGGCTATTCCAATTTCTCAACACGTTATCAAGCGGTGATTTCGATCAATTTGACAAAATATCCAGGCAGCGAGTTTCCCAAGTTCCAATTCTTTCCACGCACGAGTCTTTCTTAAGACAAAAAATATGCTTAATGACATTGGTGGAAAGCGTTTTTGTCAAAAATATCAGAACTCTGTCATTCCAAGATATCGCCTCCGCTACACACCTCCCCAAGGATAACGTAGAACATCTCGTTATGAGAAGTATTAGTCTGGGGCTGCTCAAGGGATCTATCGACCAAGTTCAAGAACTGGTGACTGTTACGTGGGTGCAACCGCGGATTATTAATGCTGACCAGATCAACAAAATGAAGCAGAGACTAGTTGAATGGAATAGCGAAGTTAGCAATCTCGGGCGCAAAATCGAAGCCCGTGGTAAAAGCATTTGGGTTTAAACTTCACTTCATTTGTATGAGTTTTCAATACATCATAGTGTAAATAATATACTCTGCCACTTTTGCATGTTCGAACACATCGTTGTGTTTTCCTAGATCATCCCAGTAAGTGGAAAAGCGCTGTTGACGATCCTGTAGTACTTGACAGAGGTAATTGCTTTGACGAAGTGAAAGCAGCTCATCAGAGTAGGAGTGAATTATGTGAATTTGAGTGCTTACCGGAATGTAAAGCGTGGAGTCCGTTGGGTCTTCGTAATCATCAATTTTATCATAGGCTTGTGACACGAAGTAATCGTATGTTGGGTATTCTTGCAGTAAATCCGAAAGCGAGAAGATACCATCGGCCAAGTAGCACCGGTTCATTTTTGATCGAATCAAGTTTAAGGAAGAGTGGAAGCTCGATTTAAATGTCAGTAATTGCCATATCAATGTTGCACCAACGGAATGACCCCACAAGTTCAGCTCATCGATTTGTTCTTCTTGTACCAACTGCGCTAAGTTCTGAATCACATCCAACAGATGAGTAGGATGCTTTACCTCCGGTGATAGCCTGTATTCAATGCCGTAGATTGAATATGCCGGCTGAGAATGACTAGATGTGGTGATCAAAAGCTGAGCTAGTTTGTCGAAGTCGTGAGGCGTATTGGAAGGGTCGATCCAAGCGCCTCCATGAATGAAAACAATGGCCCGATGTGAAGCTGGAGACTTGGAACGATAAAATGTCACGGTGTCTTCATATTTTGCCATTTTTCACCTCTACTTCTACACTTCCAAGAGTAAGCACTATTGCCTAACCTTCGTAAAAAAGGCACCTTTTCGTAATCAAGCTCTGAAATCTGTTATGGTACAAAGTATTTACTGATTAATCCATCTCTTCCTGTTAAACTCTACTCCTCTTTAACCTTAGGCTTGGACCAATCTGCATTCAAGATCAGGTTCATGAAACCTCTGCCGTTTAGGAAATTCAAAGCGCTTTCAGCGATTTCTTCTGTTTCGAATGTCACATATGCGATACCTCTGGATCTACCGGTTTCTCTATTTCTGACTACCACCACTTTAGGTATTCTGCCGAATGGGAACAGCAATTCGTATCTTAGTGTGTTTTCGTCAGCGTTTTCGTTCAATTGCATGATTTTCAAAGTCATGGCATCATCGCGTTCTCTTTGGTCACGGTAAGCGTCAAAGTTGTTGCTTGAAGAAGGATCGCGAGCACCAGCTCTGCGAGAAGGAGGAACGTATTTTCCAGCGATGATTTCGCCCTCTCCACCAGCTCCAACGTCGACCGCAGGATCGCCAGAAACCGCTGGATCTCCGCCACTTGCGCCGCCGTTGACGGCGTTGGCATCACCCATGGTCTCTTTGAAGGGACAGTGCATGGTGTAATGGTTACCACCACAAATACGACATGTAATAAGTTTTTCACCACCTTTAGATTCCTTGGCCTTCTGTTCTTCTTCTTCTTCGATTTTCCGCCATTGCGTTCCCAGTCTCAGCAATATTTCTTCGCCCAGCTGGGTGGTCGAGTAATCTGGACCGGGTGCAGAGTCTTTCTCGGCACCAAACTTGTGCCAATTCTTACGGGCTGCGACAGATTTGTTCACCTTTTCTGTCACCTTTATCTCGCGAACTTTTTGCGTGACTCTGAACTTCTTGCCGTTGTCTATCTTGTAAGACACAATCGTCTTGGTTCCATCTGGATTTTCCACTATAACGGGTGCGGGAACTGTGATGTCAGACATGGTTTTCTATGCCGATGATGATGGTGGTGATGATGAATCGACTATTGTTGGACCCAAAAGTGCGTATTTTTGCAAGCGGAAAAAAAGTAGCCTGTGAATCTGGGTGCTAGAGTTTCAATAAGAGGGTTCTAATACACTGGAACAGTCAAACTCCGGGTGGTTTATGGCACTTTCTTGTTGTTTTTAACAATGCGCATTTGAGTAGATAGATTTTTCATCCATCATCATAAAAGAGTTTTTTCAGGCTAATGCTGAAAAACATCACAACGTAAATAGTGATGATAAATTTATTGACCAAACAACAACACGTGATAAAAATTCGAGTTAAAACGGGTTGATAACGGATTTTAAACCAAGTTATAAACGGGTCGAAGAATATTTTTAAATGGGTATTTTCGGATTGCTGCTGTGTGGAAAACGGGTACACAACGGATCCTGTTTGGGTAATAAACGGATAGTAACGGGTTGTAAGGTTAGTTTCATATGGGTATCTCTCGGGTTACACACTACAGATATGCTGTTCGAATGAGTTAGGAAGCGATTAAGAAGCTGTGGAATAGATTAGAAAGGATTGGCAACAGAAGAGGCCGCCGTGCACCGTGGATTCGTAGTCAAGAACTGTTGAACTATGCTACGAGACAAAAGTGTCTATAAATACAGATTTTCGTATAGAGGAGAAGTTATGTAGATGTTAACATAAGAGGGAAATAGAGTTTGTTTTCTAGAGCCGGTGGTTGCGCACAAAAATGGCTACTCGAGTGCTTACTATTTTTGTGCTAGATTCGCAACAGTAACGCTGAGTTTGGTTTCGCCATATATAGAGATTTATTCAATTTGTGTGATATCATCAAGAATTGAGAGTCAGTTGGCGTCAACGTATGCGTTTTTCATGTGCAAAGCCTCAACTCCACTATCGCTGTCGCCATATCCTATGGCTATGATCACTTGATAGCGAATCTGGCGCCGGACGGAGGATAATAATTCAATAGTCTACAACTTGCAGTATATGAAGCGAAACATCTTGGAAATAGAGTCCTATTATGAGCATAAGCATACCAGGGTCTTCCTCGTCTCAGGCACACAGAGAGAGGGAGTCAGCGATTCAGCTATTCCAGCAATCACTGACACATATCACGTGACACATTCGCATTTAATTTTCAAAGCTTAATCTCCTCTTGAATGAATTGACGACCCCCCAGACTCCATTCATTGCTTGTTATAGGCTTTCCCACATTATCCGGGCTCTCACAATCCAACTGCACGCTAAGTATGTCATTCTCATGTCACACTAGTATAAAGTGACCTAAGTTTCCCCACGGCATTTTAGGATTTGCGCGCACAGCTAATGATGGCATGCGTGCCGCATAGACGATCACAACAAACAAAGTCAGAGCTACAAAACAAACCTGTCCATCTCGACAAGGAGGTTCATGGTCGTAAGTGGCATCGAATAGATTGAATAGAGTACTTGTAAACGACTTTGGGTTTATAATGTTAAACGACTTGTGGCTCCTTTTTTTTCTTTTTTTTCTGGC